TGAAGTCTGGCCTCTTCATTAAAAGAAAACCTCCTAAATGTTCAGAATGTCAAATATGATGATTTGAACCAGAAGAAACCAAAAACATGACTCTTTTGTCATCTACAGGAAGGTAATCAGTTTCTGTCCCTTATTTAAAATGTGAATATAGAGGCTGTAACATTTCCATCTACCTTACACTTGACTGTTGAGTCTTAATATCATGGAAATTTTAAGTTTGTTTGGTTTTAATTTATTAATTTTATTAACTATCATTTTTAAAGTAGTTTAAGCAATATTTTTATATTTCACAGGCAGCTTCAACTAATGAAACTTGCATTTAATATTTCCATGAACTGTTTCAGCTTAAAAAAACAACTGTTTGCTGAGTTTGTGCTGCTGTGGTTTGTAACAGAAACCAGGAATTTGCAGTGGATCCAAATTCCTGAATTATCGCCAAACTTTGACCTCTTCCAAACTTTACAAAACTTGTGTAACTAAAAAACATTTTGTATTCAAGTCTGCATCCTGCACACTTACAGCATCACACCTGAGTGGCAACATCTGAGTGAACTAGTCTTAACAGCAAAAAATGGCTTTAAATGCAGTTAAACTAAACATGCAGAATTACAGTTTTTAACGGTGTTTGGTCAGAAAAACGGCATTGTTGTTTTTCTCTTTTTACATTTTGCTACATTTGATTTAATTTCACCAGATCCAGATAATTTAAAAAACATCTTGTTTATTCTCAAGATGTTGTTTGGTGCTTAAACTTATTCAAACTCTCTTGTTAAAAATATTCAGTCAGTTTGTGCCTCCAACATTTCAGCTGTACCAGTTGTTAATTACATGGCCCATTCCTTTCCTTTTTTTGTTGTTGATTTTTTTACTTGGAGCTTTTCTCCGTGGTTTGCTCTCCCTCCCCTTTGGAGAGAAGGAGCAAAGAAAAAGAAACTTAATCCTCCTTTTGAGGCAGCGGTGGACCATCGAGCGCTTTCTCTTTTTCCTGCATTTTCTCTGAAAGTTTTCAGGTTAATCTTGACTTAAGCGAATGCTCAGTTTCCTTCACATGTTGCTTGTTTTTTCTTTAACATCCTTATAATTATCATTTCAGCATGATTGTCATTTGTTTTTGATTGTTAAATGCAGTTGCAAGTGCTGCTTCTTGCACTGAAATGAGCACACATGGCATCTAAAATCATATTCTTTGTTTCTCACTAATATTTTCCTAAGTTGCTAAAGTGAAAACCATCTCTGTCTACTCTAGAGAAATATCATGATAATATGCAGGAAGGAATCTGTCGACAATGACATGGAGAAGTGTTGATATCTGCTTAAGTTTTTCATTTTTCTCAAGTGTGTAATTCTAAAGCAGAAAGAAGTTTTCAAACATGAACAAATGCAAATAAAAATCTGAACAAATGCAAATAAAAATCTGAACAAGTGTGCAATTTAATCCAACATTTTACTTTTCTAATATCCACTCAGTCTTCAAGCCAAGGTTTTCTGTGTACTCTGTCTGTACATTGTTTTTTATCTGTAGCACACAGATCAACATGAGTATTGACTGAAAAATGCATCATGTTCCATTTGAGGTACAGTTTGTGCTTTTTGCATGCTGACACTAGAGCTGCCGGGCCTCCAGTCCCTCCAGAACCGCCATTTTGACTCCATGTCTGAGGTGCATTAATGAGAACCAACATGACATTTACAAACGTTGCTTTTGCTTCTGTTTTTTAAAATCTGTGTGGAATCAGAGCTTGTCAGTACAGAAATAAAAAACAAAGCTAGTGATTTAGATTTTATCAACATAAAGGTTACAGTTTTCTCAGAAATTGGTTATTTCATTGTACCAAGTGATGATGTCATCCCCGAGGCTTCTGTCGTGTTTAGTTGATTTTAATCTGAGACAGAAAAACACAAATATCACATATGACTGAAGGACTGTGACTTGTGGGGATAATTATATTTTAAGTGATATTTTTATAAATACAGAAACATCTAGTGGTGTATATTTCCTACCCAACATGGATAGACAGACATGCAGCTGTCTGTTTGCCTGATTTATTATATTTGCCATTTGCTTACTCTTCTGTTTTTGTTTTTGTTTTTTTTGTATTTTGGGACTGTTCTGTGTAAGGCCGAGGTTGTGCTCAGGGTTGAATTATCAGCAGATTTCTTAAATAAAATTTTCCAGTCATTGAGCTTTCAACCCCTTTTATAGATTTATCAATCATATTTTAAAGATTATCCAGGTATTTTATTCTACTATTGATCACAGACTTCAATCACTTTAAATAATAATCAGAGATGGTGCCAAAAATTATTTAAGGTTCTTTTTAGAGTCTTATATAATCAATCTTTAGCCCATATTGCTCCAATATGACCCACTGTATTTCCGAGTTTGATTTTTAATAATGCAAATATATTCAATCCAGCCAATTAAGTAAAATCCAAATTATATTTTTATTTATTGCAATTATTATTCTCATTAAATGAAAACTGTTTTATTGTTCAAGATCCCTGTTGGTTGCCATAACAACACCAAACATTAATGAAACAGCTGCGTGTGCAGCCTCCTATTTTCTCTCTGTTGTGGTGCAAATTACTTCCATTTGCAATATGCATGGTGCTAACTCTGACAATTTGTTAAAAATGTATTAAAATTGACAAAAAACTTAACATCTAACACAGTAGTGAGGTAAATTTCAGAAAGTAAAAAATGCTAACATGAGTTAGAAAACAGATGCAGAGATCCATGTAGGGAAGGTTTTGAACCAAGTTTTCCTCTGCTGCCGTGTCGCATGTTGTTGCCCCCACCCCCCATCTTATTCCACCATATTTTTCAGTGTTTAAGTCGCTGCCTGCTTTCACCCTCAGGTCACGTTTGGGGGCTTTCCTGCTTTCCTTTTCTGCACTTGTCCATCACAACTGACATACATAATGTCAGGCAATTTACTGGAGTTATTCTCCATGTATCGCTGATTGGCAACCCCGTCCCCTCCTGGCACAGCAAGGCCACTTTGTATCAATATTCTCTTTGTAGTGGGAGATGGGGGGCAATTGCCCTGAATGTCGGAATAATTGCACACAGCTAGCGGCACACATACAATTTCTCTTCCAGACACGCAAACCTTCATGCACCACACTGGAAAACACAATAACTGGGACACACTAAATACATGAAAAATGCACAGAGGACATGGGCAGAATGAGGACACATGAAGGGGATTTGATGTGCAGTTTGACTGAGGTGGCATTAAAAAAAAGACTGTAAAAAAGACTCTGTTCTTTGAGACAGACACACTCAGAAAGACGCTTCCACTCCAACGTGGCCTGAGGCCTAAGTAGGATCTGGGTTGGACGGGTGGACAGACAGACGGCCTTTGATTCTTCCTGAGATTCAAAACTGGGGGAAAAGGGAAACTCTTTAAAACTCAATTTATGATGCATGTAAAATGTAGAAACGATTCTATAAGCCCAAAAACAAAAAAAGCACTTATTGCAAATGCCACAAACTTTAAAAAAATAAAGCTGAGGTCAAATTATGTGGTTGTTTTCTATGAAGAATGAGCTTCAGCTTTACTACTTCTGTAGTAATTTCTGCTGCATAATTAATTATTAAAGAGGAGAACTGCAGCAAGTGGTGTGAATCTGAACTTCTGGTGCTGACAATACAGTTCATTCGGTGCCTGGACCATCATTTCAGTACATTTCCACTGCCTTGAGGCTGCATGTACTGTGAATCGGTGCTATATAAACAGAATTAAATTAAAATATTCAAATGTTGTCGAATAGGTTGTAAAACCCTTCGATGATGATTCTGTGCACATTACCACAGGTTTCTGTGCAGTTCTGAAATCTATGTCAGCGCTCATGCATCGCTGCACCCATTTACTGGTGGAGCTTTTCTCCCATCTGTGGATCTAGAACACACCAATTGAGGAACGATCAAAATATCTTTACAAGCCCTCACTTCACCCTGGCACGCACAGAAACCTACTGGTGCATGAGTGTTTGTTTGTAAGCACGTACGATCGATTGTGACAAGAAGTTGGTTTAAGTGCAGCTCTTTGTCGCATGTTCATTTCACATCTGCGCTGCTTTGTGACGTGTGCAGCAGGCGAAGGCTGAGATTATCACAGAACATGGGATTGTTTTATGTTTTATTAATAAAGTATAGAACATGACCCGAAACATTAAAACAACAATTTCTCCCTCTGCTGCACATTAAAATACCAATTAGCATAAGCAATATTTATTTTCCGTTACATTTCTGGATATTTTCAGACAGTTTGGCAAAAATACAGAATAAAAACCTAAATTAATTAATAGTAAAAAAAACCCTATGGATTTGTTGTAGGACATGTACTGTTTGTAGAGTAGATGCGTTTAGCACAACCTTCTTTAGTGACTGTTTTTATGACCAGAAGTAACATTTGTTTTTTGAGAGCAGAAATCGTAGAAGTCTTTATCTCGAGATTCAGTTTTGTTAAATTAGGGTTATAAACCAGTTAGTATTGCCATCTTAAAATATATCTGAAGGATAACCTTTGACCTTTGCATTTAGCCTTTTGCATCTATTTATAGATACGTTTAGCATTATTAAATATTAATTATTTAATAATGCTACAATTATTAAATAATTGTAGCATCTCAAATGCTTCTCGAGATGAAATATACCGGTAATAGATTTGGAGGAATCAAGAATAATTGAGAGTCAATAAATCTAAATTTTAGTGGACTTAGTAACTACATTAAAGGTTATTCTGATTGTGATGTTTGTGCCACCAGCATGTCGTGACTAAAGGATCGGTGTAAAGAATATCCGTGTTGCTTGTTTGCTCAGTTCATGGCCAGCATTCAGAGGACTCTCTGCTCAAAGCAACGTTTATTGAAATGATTGCAGTCGTACATATTTCAGAAGCTTCTAAATATTCATGTCATGTCTTGTGCTGGTGTAAGTTTCAGCCCCTCTTCAAGGTGTCAGCTTAAACCTAATTTTTTATTTATTTCCAAAGCCTTTCCACCCAATGGTGAACTTGGCATGCAGTGCCGACCTGAGGATGTTTCTGTGCGCCCTGTACGCGCCGGTGTGCACAGAATACGGCCGAATGTCCATGCCGTGTCGGTCCATCTGCCAGCGGGCCAAAGACGAGTGCCACAAACTCATGGAGATTTTTGGAGTAGCTTGGCCAGATGACATGGAGTGTAGCAGGTAAGGATGAAAAACCCAGCCCAAACAGATTTCTATGGCCATGCCAGACTGCAGCCGTAAAAACAAATACATTCACATCGAATGCTTGAATTGATCTTTCACAGATTTCTTTACATCAATCTAATCCCAAGCAAGGGATAAACTAAGCATACAGGATCAAACTGCATACACCCCTTTTCAGTTGGTAACTACATTTTATTAACATTTGACCCGTTATTTTATTGTTCTAGTGTTACGCCTTGTGTAATTCATCATGTTGAGTTGGCGCTGGGTGTGAGAGATTACAGGTTGGCTGTTCATTGTAGCAACAAGAGCACAACAAAGAACACAGCAAATACTAAATCAACATGTCAGGCATGATTTATCTTTTTATTTCTTGTGCTCATTTTTTAAAAACAAACATTTCTTTCACAAAAAAAGGAGACAACTTGAGGATTTAAAATAAGAAAAACAAATATTTTTAAAGTCCTATTTAAAATCTGCATTTCCATCTTCTTTGCACACTTTTACACCTTAAGGTCATTGTTTAATCAAATTTTGCTTAAATTTTCTTTATTCTGCTCATAGTTTGAGTGAGACCACCTGGAAGAGTCGGTCGTTCTTGAGAATAGTTTGTTGTTAAAGTCTTTTGAATCCGTCTGTCAGCAGGTGTTGATTCACAGATCCCAGGTGGATCACAGAAAAAACAGCTGGAATAATCCATAAAGGGAAGACAGGTCCCTTCAAACCGAAAAGAAAGCAACGACGGCAAAGTTTACAGGTTCATTTTGAGTTCATGAAGGGAAGATTTATACAGGGATTTATTCAGTGAATAGGAGAAAATGAGGAGGAATATTCTGAAAGCATGAGGTTAGTTTTACAAACTCTATGAAAATTATTTTTAAGCTTTAATTCATCATAGAAATGCATGACAACAGTACCTACAGTACCTTAAAATACCTTCAGTCAGAATAAAATGTTCATAGGTTTTAAACGTAAATCTCCATTAACTCTAGATTTAAAAAAAATGTTATTCAAAGTCTGGTAAATCACTTGATTTATTAGGTCTACAATTAAGTTTACTCCCAGAATAATGTTTAGTCCTCAAAGTCCCTTCAGGGAAGCAAACATACTGATCTTAAAAACGGCTTCATAAGAAGACAAGACTCCTAACGTGTGATCGCATAAACAGAAAGCTTGTAGCAGATTCACTTGATGTTCAAAGTGTTTTGTTTCCCAGGTTTCCAGATTGTGATGAGCCTTACCCTCGCGCCGTGGACCTGCTGACGGGCCCAGAACCCACTGACCAGTCGTCCATGACGGTCCAGAGAGATTACGGCTTCTGGTGTCCCCGAGAGCTGAAGGTGGACCCAGACCTGGGCTACTCCTTCATGGGAAGGAAGGACTGCTCTGCTCCCTGCCCATCCATGTTCTTCAGCCAGCAGGAGCTCAGCTTCATGAGATACTTCATTGGAGTCGTCTCTATTGTTTGTCTCTCTGCAACGCTCTTCACATTCCTGACGTTTCTCATCGATGTTACAAGGTCAGAGTAGTATTTTTACCGAATATTTCTTTTACAAAACCCTGTGAATTAAATCTGAAATGAAAATGTATCTTAAGTATGCATATTTAGCACTCAAACACCTACGTTTAAAATCCCTCAATCCCTGGATATTGTTGCTTTTAATGGTACACAGTTCTTCGAATGTCCTGAGAGTAAATCCCATTTAATCCATAACAACTGGAACTTTTAATATCTAGCAAGTTATTCACAATTTACAATCTATTAAGGATGCTGCTCAGATTAATTTCACTCCCTGCTAAAGCGGGATTGAAATTACCGTAATAACCTGATATTGGTTAGAAAGCTCAACGTCTCGCCCTTTCAGAAACCGTTGGAATTTTTCAGACAGCGCAACGTGTGGCGGAATTACGGTACTGCAAATTTGGCTGCGTTATCGCCGATACGTTTGGTCTGGAAGGCTTAAAATGATGAATTAGGACTAAAAGTGAAGCAGAGAAATTAATCAACTGTGTCTGTACAGGTTCCGATACCCTGAGCGGCCAATCATCTTCTACGCTGTGTGCTATGTCATGGTGTCGCTGGTCTTCTTCTTGGGTTTCCTTCTGGAGGACAGAGTAGCATGCAATGCGGTGAGCCCGGCCCAGTTCAAAGCTTCAACCATCACACAGGGCTCTCACAACAAGGTGGATGATTAACCTGTGTCCTAACATCACAAGTCCTGTCATGGAAATGTTTTCATTCTGATCCCAAAGGATTCGGTTGGATAAACAGAACTCGTTCTTCTTGTTGTCTCTCTCTCAGGCATGCACTCTCTTCTTCATGGTCCTGTATTTCTTTACCATGGCTGGCAGCGTTTGGTGGGTCGTACTGACAATCACTTGGTTCCTGGCCGCTGTGCCTAAATGGGGCAGCGAGGCCATTGAGAAGAAAGCCCTCCTCTTCCACGCTGTGGCCTGGGGCCTCCCAGGGGCCCTCACTGTCTCCCTGTTGGCCTTGAATAAGATCGAGGGAGATGGGATCAGTGGAGTGTGTTTCATAGGCCTGTATGACATCGATGCCCTGAGGTGGTTTGTTCTGGCACCGCTCTGCTTCAATGTGGCGGTGAGTGCAGTTAGAAGAGCAGTGATGAAAGAAGGGATAAATGATCGATTGTGGAAGAGATAAAGGAGCGAATGATATCTTAGAAATGCGGACTGCTTCACTGTACCCTTTAAGAACTAATCACTCATTGTAGTCGCGCAATATCTGTCTGAGTGCCTTCTTCTTTTGCCTCATTGTTCCCTCAGGTTGGCGTCTCGCTGCTTTTAGTGGGAATTATCGCTCTGAACCGGGTCCGGATGGAGATTCCACTGGAGAAAGAAAACCAGGCCAAACTCGTCAAGTTCATGATCCGAATGGGCGTGTTCTCGGTGCTCTACCTCGCCCCCTTGTTCACCGTGATTGGCTGCTACATTTATGAACACACCTATCGGGGTATCTGGGAAACAACGTGGATGGAGGAGAACTGTCGGCGGTACCACATCCCCTGCCCATATAAGGTAAAGGAGAACAAAGGGATTGCTCAACGCAGCATGAGACACTGTCATCTTTTTAACCGCTCTACTTAAAGACGACCTGTATGCTGCCTTTGACAGGTTAGGATTGTTTATGCGCTATATAAAACATGTTCATTACATTTTTTTCACAAAATCATTCTGCTCAGTTCCACCCATGTTGATCTCCTTTCTGACTGTTTTAGAGATTTTTGTCACTTTAAACTTTGCATAGTTGGTTCACCTTAATGCAAAATACATTCTGTTGAGCAACATTAGTGCTGTGAAAAAGTGTTTGCCCCTTAAAGATTTCTTCTGTTTTTGCTTTCCTGTAACACCTAAAGCAGTGTTTTTCAACCACTGTTCCGCGGCACACTAGTGTGCCG